ACGATGGTTGAGGTATGATAAGGGAAGGATACTAAGGATACTGAACTACGGTTGGCACTCCGGTGCCGTATTAAGTCGGCGGCGACGGCCGCTCTGTGACCTTGCGCCCTCCCGGGTTGTCGGAATATAGCAAAGTCTAAGAGTCGTTTTCTACTTTGCTCGCCCCTCGGCGTGCGGCCGAGGCTCCGGCGTTGGCGGCCCCTGCCGCCACAGAAGCGGCAGGGCCTAATGGGTGTGACGAAGGAGGGCGGTGTCGGACGAAACTAATGACCACTACGTGGTCTCGGCGTTAGCCGGGATCTACAAGGGTGAGCGCGGTCTGGTAGCCCGAGTAAACTTCATCTTTCTCTAACTCTCTTTGTTTGTCTCGGGACCAGATTGACAGGGGGGTATCAGGGTGGGGGGTTCAGGAGGTGGACACGAGGATGGAGGCGCACAAGAAACCACGGAGGATAGGGTGGTGGGTGAATCTGGGGAAGGGTCATACGTACAAGTATGGGGTACCCAAAACTGAACAGTCACCCCAAAAGTTGAACAAGCGAAAAATCTGCCCTTTTTATTCCAAAATCAAGATTGAGCACCAGAAATGGACATACCTCCTGACTTCAGGTCCAACAAATGGCATAAACGCGTTGTGAAAAATAAAATAAAATCTGACCACGAGCTTTGCCGCCCAAAGTTCGATTGGATACCATACTTTCAAGTTCATCTCAGCACTGCAGCAATGAAGTCGTTCGTGGCAGATAGAATTTGAGATACAACTTTTTTTGAATTTTTTTTGATACTTACTTCGCGTTGACCAATAAAACTGTTGTTCAAGTTTCGAGTGACATTGGGGTCGGGATCGACGACGCTAGCGCTCCCACGTGTTCGGGAATTCTACGTCTACTACTATCCACCATTAAAAAAAGCCACCCCGACCTGGATGGTCAAGGCCATCAGCTTTCTAATGGAAAAAACCCCGACTGAATCGGACAATTTTAAATTTACTTATGGCCTGCTACCTCAGTTCTGTTCAACTTTAGTGGACCGGTACTTGTACGGCAATGCGCGAGAGGGAGAAGCGCTTCTGGTGGAGACGCCGCAGGATAGAGACCCGTGGAGCAGGCCGCGAGTAACAAGAGTGCGTGCACCTGAGGAAAAGCTAACGTCCACGTGTTGCACGTGGATGATCGGGTCATATAAGCTCTGCGTGCTGGGCGACTACTGTAGGAGATGGGGGCTTTGCGGCTAACGTCCGGATGCATGAGGCGGGGCCTCGAAGGTTTGAAGATAACGTCCGAATGCATGAGGCGGCCTTGAAGGTTTCTTAGTCGTCTGTCCGCAGTAAGGACAACGAAAACCCTTCGCAATGGAAGAATTGTAGGAAATTCAAACGTCAGGTCCGCTCTCACTCCTAGAGTTGTTTTCTGTGTGATGAGGTGGAGCTGGTTGATAGATCATGCACACAAAGATGTCGCCTGGCAACGTGCATGAAACAAGACTCTCAAGCTTTCGTAACATCAAAATGAACTCCCCCCCTCCCCCCCAACTACTATGACGCACCATTGCAACACGTCACGAATGCCTGGGGTCGCAAGCGTCTATGGCTTTTCGCTTGGTCATTTAGACCACTACTGTACCATGCAAATAACCACATTAGCCACCGCTGCAACTACTGTACCACTGCATGATCGTGCCATATCAGTGAGTCTACTAGTCTCCAATTGCATGATTGAGGTAGGACAGCCTCAGACCCGTCCTCTCGCCTTCGCGCAATTCTTCCTTTGCGTACAGTTCATGCGCAATGTTTGTTTTGTACAACAGACAGTGCCCACGTCTGCGGTCCTCAGAATTCGATCCGTGATATCTTCCTAGTCCTTTACCCACCCGCTACCCAGTGTAATCCCTTTGTCCGCGTCCCACACCCTCACATTCTCGTCCCAGGATGCAAATATTACATGTCTTCCGTCCGCACTCATGCCAATACTGTGCCCACGTCCGTGTGTCCAGTCAACGAGCCCCCTCCTTGTGCTCCGTCTGGTACGTATGCGGCAACCGCAATGCAGTATGCGTACGTCTCGTTGTCAGAAGATGGACTAACGTTCCATAAAGCCGGGTGATGCATGCAAAACATGAACTGAAGACTTTCATGGCTCCTCTACTGTCGTCCTGACCATGATGCTCCCGCCAAAACTTTCGCACCTTCTTTTGTACTCATTATAAAGCGCATACAGCTGTTGCCACCTGCAGAGCGGCTCGTCTCAGATTACACCGTCGTACACGTCAACTCAGCCCAAAAACATGCGGTCACCATTTTCTTCTTCGGTCACCGCAGCAAGGAACGAACACTGTCCTCTAGCCAGTGAAGCGCGTCTTCCCGGGGAGCACCGTCTTCCGCTTCCCTAACCATATCCAAGTATCTATATACTTCCAAGAGCGGCCTAAGATTGAAGAATACTTTCCTAATCAACCTAAGCAATCCGTCAATGTCAGCTATGTCCATTTCCTGTGCATAGGCCTCTAGGATATCTCGGTTGCACCAGTCAACATCAAACAAAGGATGGCCTGCGAAAGAGCTGTCAAAGTCGAAAAACCGGACCCCTGGACCCTCATCGGCACCCTTCATGATTAGGTTTCCATCGGTCGTGTCGTTGTGTATCAAACAGTTAGGCATTTCAAAATCAATAAGTTCCGTCAGATCATCTTGCACCTTCACCTTGATGCTCGACAGTTTCTGCCTTGCTTCCGTTTCTAGCACGGTCAAAAGCTCCTTACACTGAAAAAGTGAGTTCAAGTTCTCACGCATCCACAGCGGTGAATAACATGGTAGTCCGGCCTCTAACAAATCAGGCAACACCTTTGCGCTTGCGCGGTGCAGACGCACCAGATCTCTTACTCCCTGCTTACACGCTTCATCCTCCAATCCACAGAAGCTAGTCTCGTCACCGTGGTCCACAAGGATCATTTGACGACGTTCCACGTCTGCGAATAACGGCTTGGCGACAAGATCAGGAACAACGCTAGACATTATTGACGTGACTCCAGCATCGTTCGACGTGGATGTACTGCATTTAAGGTAGTAATCACTCTCATTCGTCTTGATCCTTAGCACAGCTCCTCTGGATGACGCACGGATCTGAACCAATTCCCCCATCACATGCACATTGTGTCCATGCAATATTTCGCGTACCTTTCGAAGCGTTTCTTGATACCATCCAACAGAGGCCCAAGGCACCCGTCTAGGCGGCGAAACGTTGGCTACGGTCTGTTCCAGTTCTCGCCGAATCGCTTGCTCCGCTCCTTTCTCCGAGTGCGACACATGGACGACACCTGCTCTGTGATCATTGGTGATGGCTACCCAACTGCATCCAGAAGGCACTTCTTGAGACTTGTCATAGCACTGAGCAACGAGAATAGCGCGGACCATAGTAGCTGAAAGATTAGACGTTTCAACGGACAAATACTCAGAATAACAATGTCGAAGAACAAGAAACGGAAATTCGATACCAATGACTGTCTTGACAGCGCTGCACACATCCTGTATCGAGCTGTCACCTACGTCGTCAGAGAGAAATCCCGGAAGCCTCCACTGATCAGGACCACTTGCCACAAGCAAAACGTATTGATGGCTCACATCAAACGTAAGAAGTTGCACCTCATTGACCAAATCCCTTTCACAGCGTGCTCTGGACGACTCGTAGATAGGCTGTTCGCTGCGGAGTGACATCTCTTCCGATCGTAGAAGCGATCTTGCGCGCTCGTTTTGTCGTGGTTGAGATATTTTCCGTTGAAGCCTTCAAGGTCAAGCGTGTACCAGATCGCAATTGACCTCACCGTCCGAAGTTGGACAAGTCATGGACCAAATGAGCCTCGTTGTATACGCGGGTGCGTAAATTTTGAATTCTTTTCATAGCGCAAAAAGCGGCCTCATTTTTGCGCATTTAGGCATGTCATTTTTTGCGTGAGCCCACTACACGTAGTGCGATTTTAGGATTTCAGGAAGCGCCCACTGTGACACCACCCATTCCGCACGCGTCGAGCTGTCCCGTTTGCAATCTGTCATCCTTGTCTCGATGCTCGACCTTCGATGACTACGTTGCCAACCAAGTCTTGACGCTCAACGTCCTACCCGACCATGGCCATGTATCTGCTTTGGCCATGCAAGTGCGTATTCGCCGGTTCCATACGCGAACGTTCTCCTGCACCATGATCGTCGATATTTTGGAGGAAGAACGGCCGTCAGCGGCGGGCGGCATCGCTTTCCTAAAGCTTTTCGACCGACGTTTTGCTGATGGCCTCCGGCGTAACAACGCCATCGAGCCATGGACGAAGCGCATGGAAGAGGCGTACATCGAATCGGTCTAGAGCGGCGCAATCTACAGTTACCTGCATGATCTCACCCACATTGACCTTTTCGAGGAAAGCAGACGGAAAGACTGGGATGACGCTCAGAGCGAGGCTTTTCTCGCCCACAAGCTTCTCCGCCAGTACAATGCCGAGATTTCCCTCTATAACGGGCTGCGCGATCAACAGGGTAGTGTCATCCCGAAAGTTTTGCGGCGGTCGATATCGATCTGGAGCTTGCAACGTCGAGCGGTACCCCAAATCGCTGCGGCAGCGGGGACTTTGAGCCTTCCGAGTGAAAGGCATCCTGCTCGAGTACACAGACGGCTGCAACCTACTGGACATAGTCGATCACTTTCCGCGCTCGAGTTGGCAGGACATTGTCAATCAAGCCATTGCGATTGTCGGCATCATGAACGATCGCAACATACTAAATACTGACGTGAGGCCCGAGAACTTTCTGGTTTGTACCAATCCAGATGGTCGCCGCCATCCCTATTCTAAGGTGTTTATGATTGACTTTGGAATGAGCCGGTTTCGCGGGCCTGATGAGTCGGACGCAGAGTGGGGACCGGCCAAGCATGGCGAGGACGAGGAATGCGCTGTTGGCATCATCATGAAAAGTGTGTTGAGCAATCACGGCTTCGAGGTGCCCTACGAGCCTTCATCGAAGTATTATGAGTGGGCTGAGACGGAAGATACGGAGAACATTTTTTATGAGTATGCGATCAAAACTGAGGTCAGTCCAGGTGTGGTCGTCTACTCCCTGCCGCCGGAGGAGAACGCAGAGGGACATCATCAGTCATTGTATAGTACTCGGAGCATGTGAATGTTACTGGGCGCACGGCGAGGAACGAAGGAAAGGATTCAAATTTGCATCCAGACGCTTGTTGTCGCGATGCCTCGAGAAGCTACTGGAAAAGGGCACAGAGGGTGCCGACACGAATGCAGTTCGGGCTGCAGAGGTTTACGAAAACGCAATTGACAAAAACGACGTCAGTGCGATGGTAGCTCTCGGCTTGCTGTTGGAAAAGGGCGCAGAGGGTGTCGAGAAGAACGCGGCTCGCGCAGTAGAGTTGTACGAATGTGCGATCGAAGTAGACCAGAGTGTTGACGCGATGTACAAGCTTGGTAACCTCATGAGGGATGGGAGCGACAGAGTTGAGAAGGATGAAGCGCGGGCTGACAAACTATACGGGAGGGCGATTGAGAAACACGATGATGCTCATTCTATGTTCAATCTCGGCAACCTGCTAACATATGATGCGGAACGAATCGAGAGAAACGCGGCGCGTGGCATAGAAAAGTTCGAGCGGGCGATCGAGAAGGGTAATGATGTCGATTCAATGGTCCATCTTGGTCTCCTCCTGCACAAGGGCGTAGAGGGAGTCGAGAAGAATATGGTTCGCGCCGTTAAGCTGTACGAGCGGGCGATCGCGGAGGGCAATGACATCGATGCGATGGTGCATCTGGGCCTCCTGCTGCAGGACGGCGCGGAGGGGGTCGAGAAGAACGGGGTTCGCGCCTCAGAGCTGTACGAGATTGCGATCGACAGGAGGGACGATGTGCATACATTGGGCAATCTCGGTCTGCTGCTGCACCACGACGCGGAAGGAGTGGAAAAGGACGAGGTCCGCGCACTGGAGCTGTACGAGCGTGCGATCGAGAAATCACGCAACGGTAACGCTAAGTTGAATCTTGCTCTCCCCCTGAAGGATGGAGGAGACAGAGAACGCTACGCGGGCTGTGAAGCTGCTTGAGGGTGCGCTTGAGGAAGACGGTAAGGTTGACGCGATGGTGCATCTTGGCACGCCGATGCAGCACGGAGCGGACAGGGTGGGGCGTAACATAGGGCAGGCGGCACGGCTTTACGACATGGCGGTTGAGAAAGACGAGAACAACGGAATGGCTCTCGCAACCTAGAAGTCCTGCAAAGGGCCGGGCTGGGTGACAGGACCGGGGCCGTGAGACGGCTGCATGGGTGATTTCGTCCCTAACATCAAGTGCGTTCACGGCTCGGGAAGCATGTGGCGGGGGGTTGAAGCAAAGACGCGAGAACGATCCCCATGGACAAAATTATACCTACAGAGGTCACGTTCTCCAAGAAAATTTGTTCCTCCTCGCCGAATCGTCCGAAACTCGTGAAGTTCAATACTTATGGCATCGTAACACGTGTCCGCTACACGTGTTCGTTTTGGGCTTCAATTGACGCCCCAATCAATTAAGCTAATTTGCTCCTCAAAGAATTATGGGCTGTGAGTGTGCAAAGATACCCTTGTTGATTACAGTGTGGTGACGTGAAGCTGGTTGATACTGTAGATCACAGATACAAAGATATGGACTGGCAACGTCCATGAAACAAGACTCAAGCATTCGCATCATCAAAATGAACCCCACCCCCCTCAACTACCATGACGCACCATTGCAACACAACACAAATACATGGAGTGGCAAGCGTCTACGGCTTTTCGCGATTTAGACCACTACCTTCATGGAAGCAACCGGATTAGCCACCACTGCAACTACAACTGCGTGATCGTGCCATATCAGTGAGTCTACTGTAGTCTCCACTCGAGCCAGGACAGCTTCAGACCCCGTCCTCTCGCCTTCGCGCAACTTTTCTCTTCCGTGGAGTTATTTACCATGTTTCTCCTGTACGCGAAACATTGCCCATATCTGCCGTCCCCAGAATTCGATCCGTGATGTCTTGCCAGTCCTCTACCCACTCGCAACGAAGGTTGATCCATCTATCCACGTCCCACATCCGCACGGTCTCGTCCCAGGATGCAGATACCACATGTCTTCCGCCCACACTCATCCCAACGCTGCGCCCCCTATCCCTGTGTCCAGTGAACGCGCCCCTCCTTGTCCTCTGTCCACTACGAATCCGGCGATCGCGGTGCAGTGTGTGTATGTCTCGTTACCAGAAGATGGACCATCGTTTCATAAAGCCGGGTGATGACATGCAAAACGAGAACCGGACACTTTCAGGCCTCTACTGTCGTCCTGACGTTGATGTTCCCGCCAAACCTTTCGCACTTTCTTTATACTCATTATGAAGCGCATAGAGCTGATGCCAACTGCAGAACCACTCGTCCTAGACTACAACGTTGTACACGTTAACTCAGTCCAAAAATACGTGCTCACCCTTTCCTTCTTCGGTCACATCAGCAAGTAACGGACACTTTTCTCCAGCCACTGAAGGGCGTCTTCCCGGGGAGCACCGTCTTCCGCTTCCCTAACCATGTCCAAGTATCTATATGCTCGCACGAGATCTGAAAGATAAGAGGTTTTGTTGATCACACTATACAATCCATCAATGTCAGCTATGTCCATTTCCTGTGCATAGACCTCCAAAAATTCCCGGTTGCACCAGTGCACATCAAACAAAGGATGGCTTGCGAAAGAGCTGTCAAAGTCAAAAAACCGGAACCCTGGACCCTCATCGGTGCTCTTCCTGGTTAGGTTCCCTTCCAACTGGTCATTGTGTATCAAACAATTAGGCATTTCCCAACTAATAAGTTCCGTCAGGTATTCTTGCAGCTTGACCTTGGTGTTGGACAGCTTCTGGCTTGGTTCCGTTTCCCGCACAGACAAAAGCTCCTTAGATTGAAAAAGTGAGGTCAAGTTCTCACGCATCCACAGCGGTGAATAACATGGTAGCCCGGCCTGCAACAAATCGGGCAACACATTCGTGTTTGCGCGGTGTAGACGCACCGTATCTCTTACCACCTGCTTACGCCCTTCAAGTTCTAATGTAAACATGCCAGTCTCGTCAACGTGGTCGGCAAGGATCATTTGACGACTTTCCACGTCTGCAAACAACGGCTTGGCGACAAGATCAGGAACAACGCTTGATATTATTGACGTCACTCCAGCATCGTTCGACGTGGATGGGCTGCATTTTAGGTAGTAATCACCCTCATTCGTCTTGATCTTTAGCACGGCTCCTCTGTATGACGTACGGATCTGAACCAGATCCCCTATCACATGCAAATTGTGTCCACGCAATATTTCGCGCACTTCTCGAAGCGTTTCATGGTGCCATTCGACAGAGGCCCAAGGCACCCGTCGAGGCGGCAAAACGTTGGCTGCGGCCTGTTTTAGTTCTCGTCGAATAGCTTGCTCCGCTCCTTTCTCCGAGTGCGAGACATGGACGACACCCGCTCCGTGATTATCGGTGATGGCCACCCAACTGCATCCAGAAGGCACTCGTTCAGATTTCTCACGGCACCCAACAACGATAATACCGCGGCTTCCCGAGTCTGAATGATCATCGGTTTCAACGGACCACTCTTCAAAGTAACAATCTCGGAGAACAATGAAAGGAAATTCTATACCAATACTGTCTTAGCAGCGCTGCACACATCATGTGTCGGGGTGACATCTATCGTGTCAGAAAGAAATCCCGGAAGCCTCCATTCATTAGGACCGTTTGCCACAAGCAAAACGTATCGATTGCTCACATCAAAGGTGAGAAGTTGCACCTCATTGACCGAATCCCTTTCACAGCGTGCCCTGGACGACTCGTAGATAGGCTGCTCGCTGCGGAACATGTGTTCCAATCCTGGGAGCAATCTTGCGTGCCCTTTCCGTCGCGCTTGTGATATTTTCCAATAAAATCAACGAATGTGTTCGTTGTCGTAGAGCGCGTTGAGAGAGTTTGCGTTTGTACAAGGCGATCGCAGACTTTTGCGTAATGTTCGTATTGTACAAGATGGCAAGGGACGCTACCATGTGAAAAGTGAGAAGCAAGGCCTGGATCAAAAAGATCTCATCGCAAAAATCAGCCTGTTAAGACACGCCCTGATGCCTTGCCCGGTGATGAATCGTAATCCTCATGGGGGGGTCTTTACTCGTCGTCGCCGTCTCGTGGGTCTAAGTACCGCTGGTGACAGACTGTAATGCTGACAGTCTGTCCTTGCGGTCGGTCACTCGCGCACCTGTCAGCGTCTGATGAAGAGAGTTGCGGTCCGTCAGTCCCGGGGGACGCTGAGGGGTGCGCGTGAAGGATGTGCCGGGGTGCGCTTTCGGGTCGGGGCTGCGGGGTTCATGTAGTTGGATGATTTTGCAGATTTCTTGAAAGCGGATGGGTCCGAGCGCTTTTGTGAATAGGTCTGCTGGGTTGCCCGCGGATGGGATGTGATGCGCGGTGATAGCGGCACCTTGGATGTGATGTTGAAGGTGGTGGTGCCTGACATCGATGAGCTTTCTATGTTTAGTTCTGGCGTCAGTTCCCGCGGGACGATACGTTTTTGGCACATGTCAGGATCGATACGTAATGACAAAAAACGTATCGTCCAGGCCTGATTCGACGTATGTGCGATTTTGGTACTGTCTACGGTATATGGCCCAAAACGTATCGTGCCGGGCGGTTTTAACGGCGACAGTTTTCTGGTGGGACGATACGTTTTAGGCCGATTTACACGGCGGCACCCCCATACGCGCTGTATTGGCAACATTGCTGTTGGGAATTTCTGACTAAAATTTTGCCGACGGCGGCGCACAGCCAATAAAATGTCAGGGCGCAAAATTTAGTTTTTGCCGTGTGCGATTAGAGGCGCATGAGCAATGATATTAACTTCATATTTTATCACGTACCGTGTCCCTCGTCTGACAAGATTGTCAGATGCCCAAAACGTATCGTGCTGGGTGGGGCAATTACAGCAGGCAGATTTAGTGGCAGGGCCTTATACTGCACTGACGGCGTCGCAGTGCGCATGTACGAGTTACACAATAAGGCGGCGTAATTTATGTCCTGAACATCAAAGCTTTCTAAGTTATTTACTGCGCGAAATTGAAAAGCGCCGTATGCAGGTTTCGATGATCGTTGCCTCAACGACGCATTTTGGACGGGTGTGTCAGAGATGCGTTGGGGAGGGATGCGCGCACGATGCGTTCTGGAGAGGTGCGTCTAGGATGCGAGCTGAGGGGGTGCGAGAATGATGCGTTGGAAGGGGTGCCAGAATGCTACGTTGGAGAGGGGTGTGCTCGTGATGTGTTCTATAGGGGTGCGCTCATCATTCGTTTGAGAGGGATGCCAGAATGATACGTTCGAGAGGGGTGCGCCCACGACGCGTTCTAAGGGGGTGCGAGATTGATGCGTTCGGGAGGGGTGCGCCCATGATGCGGTCTGGAGGGGCGCGAGAACAATGCATTTTGGAAGGGTGCGAGAATAATACGTTCGGGAGGGGTGCGCCCACGATGCGTTCTGAAGGGGTGCCAGAATGATACGTTCGAGAGGGGTGCGCCCATGATGCGTTCTGGAGGGGCGCGAGAACGATGCGTTTTGGAAAGGTGCGAGAATGATACTTTGGAGAGGGCTACTCGCAAGACGCGTCTTGCAAGGGGCCTGAACGGTGCGTTTGCATGTTTCTTTTCTGTTTCAGCTACTTCTGTAGTAGATGGCCGTTACGAAAGCACAAGTGTAAATTTTGTGGGGTTGGTTGTGTAGTGGAGAAACAGCAAAACGGCACAATTGGTGAGCATAGCAGTTGGATATGGCGCGACGTAGAAGATGTATAAATGAATGATTCAACAAAAACGGCGGGTAGTGATCGCACGGGCACATGGAAATGTGAGGATCGCTGTGACATGTGAATGGTTCCGTTTTCGAGAAGATTGAAGCTTTCTATCGTTGAGAGTTTATTGAAAATGTGGTCCTAATACTGCAGTATGTGGATATCGAAAACTACTGGCAGTCCAGTTGGAGAAGACCTTGATGTATGGCCCAAGCCAGTGGGAGCCATATTGTCAGAGGCATATCGTCGTTATTCTCGTCAGCGGACTCTATGGATGCATCCGAGAAGATGACGGCTAAGTCCTTCTCAGTGACCCGGGCCGGGCGGTCACGGAGAACGGAGTTGAAGCGGCAAAGGATTTCGGAAGGGAACAGGTTTTCAGCGATCTGTTGCTGGAAAGACTTCATTCGCCAAAGGTTCCAGGCGAGTGATATCATAGGACGTATATCGCAACGACCGTATTGGCCGAATGTGGGGTGAAGTGGTTGGCCAAGGCAGTGCGAGAGGCGGCAATCAAAGCACTTGAGAGGGACTTTTCTTGGGACGGGGCAAGACGGGACGAAATGGGTCGTAGAGAAACAGGCATAGCAGCTTCTTTCTATGAATGGACAGTCATTCTGAGGATGTTCCGTACCGGAACGGCGGGGAGAAGCGTGGCATAAGAGACACGTCGTCTTGGTTAGGAAGAGGAATTGAGTTACTAAATGAACCGTGGATTCGGTGTCAATTGCCTGGAAGTGACTAAATGGCAACGATAGGGGAGGTGACGGGGAAGGCAAAGGGTTTGTGGGAACATTAGGTTGGGTTTGGCGCGCCATACTGGGAGAAGTTCGTAAGCTCTTGAATGAATTTCTTCCCGATGGTGGAAGTGATGCGGGCCGTTTGCCCGAAAGGACTTGCTTCAAAGATGGTGACGCCGTCGGAAGTGACCGTGGACGGACTGGAAATGGTGCTTGCTGCATTGAAGGTGATGCTGAAGGCAGCAAGCGTTCACTTGATTGTTGTGGGGAGAAGCTAAGGATTCTTCGAACTGGAGGGGCTGGAGGGGGGTTGGTTGGAGCGGATTGCTCAAGCAAGAGAAGCATTTCATCGAAGTTGTGCTGCGTGGATGTGGTGGCTCCGATTTGGTTTTGCCGTTGAGGCTCGAGATGGTTTTGATTTTGATCTTGATGTGGACGTGGCAACTGCGATTGCGATGGTGTGGTGGGAAGCGAATGTTGCTGAGACTGGGATTGCGAATTTGCATCCCAAGGTCTAGAGGTATCCGGTGTGTGAAATTGTGAACTCTGAGGGGTGTGCGGTGCATTAGTTGGCTGGGAGGGGAACATAGATCTGCAAACATCGCACCAGACTGCGTGCTTTTCGAAGCGACAGACACCAGAGACTTGGCCATCCATGGCTGTGTAAAGTGCATCTTTGCGGCAATCCGTGGTATTGAGGACCCAATTCATCATCTCGTTTCGGTTCGTTACTGCGAGATCATTTTGGTCAATGTTGCCCTTTTTGAGAAGGGAGGTTTCGAAGCTCTTATTGTACTGGGTTGAGTTTAGGACGAAGACGAATGCGTGGTGTCCGTCGCGTCCAGACCGGCCACTCTCCTGTGCAAAGTCGACGAGGCTTCTTGCGGCGCCAAGATGAACTGTTGCTCGAACATCTGGAACATCTATTCCGGTACCGAAGGCGGACGTACAAACCATAATACGGAACAGAGTTGAAGGTACGAGGTCCTTGGTTGTTATGATGTCGTAGAGCTCTTCGTTTGCTGTCCAGTCGTTGTGGGCCTTTTCGCGAGCTTCTTTAGTGAGGCCGGCATGATATATGAGCGGCTCGACTGCGATGCGTTGATTGGAGTGGGCAACACTTCCTTGTGCATATGCGGCCGTCAGGGCTTTGTGGAGAGAAGTTGTTTCTTGGCGCGTCAGGGCGAAAGCGATGATTCTATATATTTTGGGCAACGGCTTTGGGGCGTTGGTGCAATCGAGGAAGTGCTGATGCAGAAAGCTTACTGCATTCATCTTCATGACTTCTTGTGCGGTGGCAAAGGAGCCTTCAGGAGTGCGAGTGTTTAGGCCCGGGTCAGAGTCGTCACTGAAGGTATGAACAACAAACTCGAGATTCCTTCTTTGAGAAGGCATTGAGAAAAGGAAGGCTGTGTTAATGCCGTGGCGCTCTAGAATGATTCTTCTCTCGCAGGGTGGGACGGTGGCACTGAGGAGTACACGAGGGACTGACTTTGGGATGATA